AAAGCATTTTTCACATCCATTTGTTGCAACTTAAAGTTGTGATGGGAAGCATAAGCAATCAACAAACGTATGGATTCAAGGAGAGCAACGGGAGCAAAGGTTTCACCGTAGTTGATACCCTCGACTTGGGAGTAGCCTTGTGCTACCAATCTTGCCTTGTTGCGAATGATGTTCCCATGAGCATCTTGCTTGTTCTTGAATATCCACTTGGTTCCAATGACGTTGTGGTTCCCCGACGGCCTTGGCACCAATCTCCACACCTTGTTGTACTCGAAGTTGTTGAGTTCTTCATGCATGGCATTGAGCCAATTCGGATCTTCGAGCGCCTCATAGACCTTTTGGGGTTCAACACAAGAGACAAACGTTGATGTTCACAATAGTTTGCTAATTGTCTACGAGTGCTTACCCCCTTTCTTAGGCCTTGGCACCAATCTCCACACCTTGTTGTACTCGAAGTTGTTGAGGTCTTCATGCATGGCATTGAGCCAATCCGGATCTTCGAGCACCTCATAGACCTTTTGGGGTTCAACACAAGAGACAAACGCGTGATGTTCACAATAGTTTGCTAATTGTCTACGAGTGCTTACCCCCTTTCTTAGGCTTCCAACCACATTCTCCATGAGATGACCTTTGGTGGTGAGCTTGGAAGCAATCTTCACGGCACGACGCTCTAATTCCTCCTCAGATGTGGAAGGAGGAGGATTAACTTGATTATCTTGAGCGCCGTCTTGAGCTTGTTCAAAATCTTGAGTTTGCTCTTGATCTTGAACTTGCTCGAGGGGAGAACTTGACCTTGGACGTCATTTGGTGGTTCACCACCATCTTGAGGTTGATCTTGTCCTTGGTCTTGTTCACGTGGTTGAGGGCCTTCACTTTGTTCTTTGGAAGCGTGTGGGTCTTGGGAAGGTGAAGGCTCCACTTGAGTGGAGCATTGTCCTTCTCCTTCAGCCACAAGGGGTTCCTCAATGGGTAGAATATGACCAATACCCATTCTTCTTATGGCTTGGGGAGGAATTTCATCACCTACATCACAAGTACCACTTTGCTCCACTCAGGAGCCGTTATTTTCATCAAACTCCACGTTACACATCTCCTCAGTGAGTCCGGTGGACTTGTTGAGAACACGGTAAGCATGAGAGTTTGTAGCATAACCAACAAATATGCCCTCATAAGCTCTAGCCTCAAATTTAGACAAACGAACACCTTTCTTGAGAATGAAACACTTACACCCAAACACCCGGAAGTACTTGAGATTGGGCTTGTTACCGGTGAGTATCTCATAAGGAGTCTTGTTCAAGCCTTTGCGGAGATAGAGCCGATTGGATGCATGACACGCTGTGTTGATGGCTTCGGCCCAAAAGTTGTATGGAGACTTGAACTCCGCCATCATGGTCCTTGCCGCATCCATCAATGTCTGGTTCTTCCTCTCCACGACACCATTTTGTTGAGGGGTATATGGTGCAGCATATTGATGCTTGATCCCCTCATCACTAAGAAACTCATCCAAGGTGTAGTTCTTGAACTCGGTGCCGTTGTCACTTCTTATTGTCAAGATCTTTGCATCATGTTGACGTTGAGCTTCATTTGCAAAGTTGATGACGGTTTGTTGAGTCTCACTCTTCCTCTTGAAGAAGTATACCCAAGTGTATCTTGAATAATCATCCACAATCACCAAGCAATACTTTCTACCTCCAAGACTATCAAAATATGGGGCCCCAAAGAGATCCATGTGAAGGAGCTCCAAGGGTCTCTTCGAGTAGATGATGGTCGTGGGAGGGTGAGCCTTCTCATGAAGCTTTCCTTCAATACAAGCACTGCAAGCACGATCTTTGGCAAAACTAACATTTGTTAGTCCACAGACATGGTCCCCCTTGAGAAGACTTTGCAAAGATCTCATATTGACGTGGGCTAAACGGCGATGCCAAAGATATCCCACGTCAACTTTAGCCATTAGGCATGTCGCGGTCTTAGTGGGTCGCTCCGAAAAGTTTATCACATAGAGACCGTTCTCGACATGCCCAACAAAGGCTACTTTAAGAGTCTTGCTTCACAAGAGGGCCACGGTATCAATGTCAAAGAAAGTGGCAAAACCCATGAGTGCAAGTTGACGAACGGAAAGTAAATTGTATGCAAGGGACTCAACAAGCATGACTTTCTCGATCGTTAGATCATGAGAAATGACAACCTTGCCAAGACCCAATACCTTAGAATGTGAGGCATCACCCCACTCGACATTGGTGGGCATAGATGGAATCTTTTGCACGTCCACCACCAAATCCTTGCTCCCGGTCATATGATTTGTTGCTCCACCATCGAGCAACCATGATCCCCCACCGGAAGCAAACACCTACAAGAGATCAATGCTTGGTTTTAGGTACCCATTTAGTAATGGGTCCTTTGATGTTAGTAACAAGGGTCTTAGGAACCCAAATAGACCATTCAATGTACTCATAAGGAGAACCAACAAATTTAGCATAAACATGCCCATCACTAGCACGGCACAACACATATGACGGGTTAAATTTGCCGGCTTTGTTCGAAGAGATGGTTTTGCCCTTTTTGACATCAACACCCTTCACATTTTCCTTCTTCTCCTTAGGAGCACCCTCTCCCTCTTTCACAAAAGTTTGCTTGAGAGGAGGAGGTCGTTTGGTCTTGTCGTTCTTCTTCTTATTCTTGGATTTGGGAGCAAACCAATTCCCTTCTTGGCCACAACTTCCTTTCAATTGCTCAAAAGGTCGTTGAGGTTCTTCTCACCTTGAATGCATGTCACAAGGCCTTTCTCAAGTTGATCCTTCAACTTGGCATTCTCCTCCACAAGATGCACATACTCACAACACGGGTCAGTAGCATATGCATTATCAATTAATACCATATGAGGAAAGGTGGCCTTTTCCTTGGTTAGCTTAACTTGGAGTTGAGCATGAGACTCCTTGAGGTTAGCGTGAGCACCCTTCAAGACCTTGTGGGCCATGTCAAGTACATCAAACTCCTCCTTGAGTCTAGCATGATCAACCCCAAGTTTAGCCTTCTCGAAAGTTATCACACGAGACACGACAAGAGCATGATCAAGATCTTTCTTTAACTTAGCATGGTCATCGTTGTATGACTCCTCAAGAGTCAAACGATGCCCACGCTCTTCCTCAAGAGCATTAGAGAGATCCGATATCTCATCGGCATAGTCACGACTATGACCTTCCATCTTAGAGATGGTTTCTTCGTGAGCCTCGATCATGTCATTGGCTTCACCAAGTTGTTCCAAGAGAGCAACAAAGTGCTTCTTGGATTTGCCCTTGAGCTTACTCATAAATGACTCAAATTCATTCACATCCTCATTAGACCCCTCATGTTCACCAATGAAACCCTCCAAAGAGGGATTAATAATGATGGTGGTTTTGATGTTGGGGGTTACCTTGTTAGGGGCTTTAGCCATGAGGCACTTGGCAGTGATGTTCTCGTTGGGTGAATCAAATAGAGACACCCGGGGAGTGGTAGCAATGGCAATGGAGGCCATGACCATTGCTTCTCCATTTTCATCATCATCGTCATCCTCATGGTATTCTTCTTGAACCACCAACCCACGAGTAGGAGTCTTCTTGGTGAAGTTGTTCTTGTTGGGGAAGGACTTGGCTTTGTCTTTTCGGATGAACTTGCCACCATTGTCTTCCCGCTTCTCGTAAGGACAATCCGCAACGAAATGGCTCACCTTTGAGAATCTCTCTGGTGACAAAGGTGAAAAGATAGAGATGTAGCCAGTTCATTGTTAGACTCATTAACAATAACAATGATGGGTAAAAAGAGAGGACACCTATAGTCCCCATCTCTGTCTGATTTACCTGAACAAAGGTAAAAGGATCGATATAGTTGACTAGAGGGGGGTGAATAGGCAACTAACAATTTTTAGCTTTTCTTTACCAAATTAAACTTTGCATCAAAGTAGGTTGTCTAGATATGCAACTAGGTGAACAACCTATATGATGCAACAACAACAAGCACACGAGCAAGCAAGGGATACAACACAAGTAAGCTTGCAAAAGTAAAGGCGCGAGATAACCAAGAGTGAAGCCGGTGGAGACGAGGATGTGTTACCGAAGTTCCTTACTTTTGAGGGGAAGTACGTCTCCGTTAGAGCGGTGTGGAGGCACAATGCTCCCCAAGAAGCCACTAGGGCCACCGTATTCTCCTCACGCCCTCACACAATGCGAGATGCCGTGATTCCACTATTGGTGCCCTTGAAGGCGGCGACCGAACCTTTACAAACAAGGTTGGGGCAATCTCCACAACTTAATTGGAGGCTCCCAATGACACCACGAAGCTTCACCACAATGGACTATGGCTCCGAGGTGACCTCAACCGTCTAGGGTGCTCAAACATCCAAGAATAACAAGATCCGGTATGCGGGAGGTGGAAGGAAGGACGAAAAAGAACCAAAAGAGATGGGACGAAAATTAATCGTGGAACGGAGGCTACCAACTGAGACATTACGAGTAGAGATCAAGGCAAAAATTAATGTTGTTTCCTCGTACTACCAACTTATTTGACACTGTGCTACTTCCTTCTCATTTTTTCTTGCATGCATGCGGGTGTATGAATAATCCCGGTTAAAAAAAAGTTGTCTTACAAAACAGTCATCAAACTTTACCATCGTATTCGTAATTGCCCTACTAAAAAAGTCGGTCTTCCTCCGACCCACGCGCTCGATTCCCCTCTCTTTCCCACCAGGCCACGACCATCTCCCCCGTCAGCCTGACCGCCTCCATCCGCCGGCATCACCCGCCTTCGGCCGGGAGCCCTTCTAACATCTGCAGCCTTCTTGTCTAACCGGGGATCTGTTGGTTTCTTGGTAATCCTTACTAGTTCTTGGCCCAACTAATTCCCCTTTATTGCATCCCGTTCCATTTCTTGACTCCACTCCGTGACTTCAAATTGATGTGAGCAGGCCTACCGAGGAGGTTGCGATTCAGGGTCGCTGGATTGTTTGGCGCCGTCCCAGCGTGGTGATGAATACGAGGCCTGTAGTGCTGGTCTGCCTCCTGATCGTGCTCATCATCACGTCGCAGTTCGAGTGGAAGCAGCAGATCGAGGACGCAGCTGACGCGGACCCTGTCACCGCGCGCCGGCGGCAGCAAGTCCTTGCGAAGGAGGACGCCGTCAAGGAGAAGGTGAGCCCGCCAGAAAGATTCTTGCTTGATTAGCTGTAGCTCCCTTTTGTTGTTCTGTAGGCCCACCCAAGATTAGCAGCAAGTTAGGTGTATTCTCTGGCTTGAAGCTACATAAGAGATCAGTTGGCTTATATGGGAGGATCTGAATTAAATTCAGATGCTAAATCAAAGTTGCGGTTAGAGATTAATCAATGTGCGCCGGCTCTGAGTCAATTTCAGTATTTATTGGGCGGAATATTTGATGAGTTCATCAGTATAGTCGTCAATTAGGCTGGTTGTAATGGTAGTATCATAACTAGTATCATGCATGCCAACTAGGCAATTCTGATGAGGTGTCATAAAATTAAATGAAGAAAGAGAGAGTTGAGTATCATATCATGATACCGTATCATAATAAATGCTATGCTATTATGTGTCATGCATGTCAATAAATAAAGTACTACATGATACTAATATATGATACTAAGCATTAGGGAGGTAGTATCATACACTAGTATCATATGCATGATACTAGTATATGATACTCCCCATTACAACCAGCCTTAAGACTTACGAGCAATACATATTGTTTTGATAATAAGCTAAATAACGCAGGCACCTCTTAGTAAGATTCTAAACTGACAAGTGCTGCTGAAACATACTCCCTCCAGTCCTTTTTACTCTGCATATTAGATTTGTGTCAAGTCGAACTTAGCAAAGTTTGACCAAATTTATCTATACCAATATAAAAAGACCCAAAGGGGCAGATCCAACAAATCCCGGCTGTCAAATCAGGTCAATCCAACGACTCAGACTGCTTCAATGGTGAGCGCTCTAACACGTTTAGTGTGCAGTTAATATCATACTAAATATTAACGCCAATGGTAATCACATACTTAATACGCAAATAATATCCTACCTAATATTTACGTGTAATTAATATATTACCTAATATCAACGTGCATTGTACGTACACATTTACTAGTATTAAAAAGTATCAACATCTACGACACTAAATATATATACTATGAAACTACATTTCATAATGAATCTAACAATATGGATTTGGCATTGTGAATGTTGATACTTTTTTCTATAAGCTTGGTCAAAATAGAGATACTTTGACTCCGGACAAAACTTATACGCAGACTAAAAAGGACCGGAGGGAGTATGTAAGAAACCCTCCACAAGCTGTGGCCTTGACACATACATTTGCGAGATTGCATACAATAACATCTGAAACATACATAAGAAACCATCCACACGCCGTTGCCTTGAGACATACAGTGCCGCTGTTTGCATACCTGTTCCTGTAAGGGTTTGCAGGCATAGTTTCTACTCCGTTATGGTTGACACTATTGAAATTTTGGATAATCTCACAAGTCTGTATTGATTTGCAAAGTGTTTGGTGGCAGTAACGAGATAAGTACTGAATATATATCCTGTTTTCATGGGAAACAATTGGTTAAGTAGGTGTGCCTAGGTATATTTAGGTCTATTAGTGAGTTAAAAGGACATTCATCATGATAGGACATGGGAACAATCAGGGAATCATTCATAAAAAAAGAAGCTATGTTGTGTGAAAAGCATCATGAGACCTGCATTTCTGATTTTGGCATCTGTCTCCTCAGAATTTTGATGTTTCACGGAAGTGGTTGTACCACAGAAGCGCTTCAATTCTTGTCCGTGCATCAATGAAATTGTCATAGGCTAATAGTCGAGTTGTGCATCATTGAGTTCAGATTAGGTCCATCGATTAATTCTGAGCTTGTTTCTTAAAACCAGGCCAGGCTGCTATTTGTAGTCACCCTCGAAATTAGGCAGTCCATTTCCTAACTGTTGATAAATGGGATGCAAATTTTCCGCACATTGTTGTATGTGCACTTATTTTGGTTCATTGATGAGCAAGATGTTATGTGATATGATTTTAGAGTGGGGAGAGGGGTTCTTGCACTTGAAGGCCTTTAGTCCCAAACAAGTTGGGGTAGCTAGAGCTGAAACCCATAAGATCTCGCAACCAACTCATGGTTCTGGCACATGGATAACTAGCTTCCTCTTCTGGGTTTCATCTCCATAGGAGTGGCTGAGTTTTGGCGTTGGCTCGCCAAGCCTATCACAACCCTCCTCCTTTATCTGGGCTTGGGATCAGCTATGTTGAGACAACATAGGCGGAGTTACTTGAGCAAGTACTATTTTATTTTTTGCTTAATCCAATGTGTGGATGCCAGTCTGATGAAAGCTGGTTAGTTCATCCATGAGTTAGCTCAATACTCAAACTCTCTATCCTAATTCTTAGGTAGTGATCCTAACTATCGTAAAGAGATATTGTTGCTGCCTCTGTTGGTGCTGCTTGAGCTGACTAACAGCTACGTTGCATGGATACTTGAATACGTATCGGATATGCGATACGGGGATACGCCCGTATCAGGGCAGTATCCTACTGGATACACGCGCTTTCTGAAGTATCCGCGCAACGTAGACTAACAGGACTCGTTACATGATTCTTTTACAATGCACATATGATCATCTTACATTCATGATTGCTTTTGTGGAACCTGTAAGTGCACGAGTGTTCTGGTCAAAATATGTATAGATGCCACTCTGTCTGGATTTGTTTATCTATGGATGTTGCTCTAAATCCATCATTCACTGTCGAACTTAGGATCGAAATGCTCATAATTGTTGTTAGATTTTAAGTTTGATGACTCCATAAGTTAAATTGGTTTTTAGTAACTGTAACTACATAAGTACTTAGTTTCAGGCTTGCTTTCTTGGCAACCAACTGGTAAAAGACCTTACAAGTGTGTGTTCAGCAAGATAGCAAAGATGGTAAGCCGCAAGAACAATCAAGATATTTTTAATGTAAAGAAATGCTTTATTATGTTGAAATCAACAGAAGATCCCACATTTCTAAGAGCTCTGCCAGTGGGACCTGAAACTTTGGCTGTGGCAGCAAAACTGCGGCCCTGCCAAAGGGAACCTGTTACAGGCCAATAATCAATTTAGGGATCCTTTTCCACATAATTAGTTCAAAGTTGTCTTTTGAGAAATTCAAATCTGAACATGTTTTTGGGAGCAAGGCCAGGCTACAATTCGTTGTTGCTTGTTTAACTAGCCTGTTTCAACTTGTTCCAAACTGGATAAGGGCATGCATATTTTCTGCACATAGTAATATCTGCACCTATTCTCTGTGGCTTTGTAAGCATGACTCTGAAATATAGACATAATCACGCATGTATAGCATGTTGGCTCATCTGCACTTCCCGAAAGGTATATACATGAAGATGTTTATATGTGCTGGACAAAGCAAAATCTGCGAGTGAACATATTGGAGCAACTCAAGGAGAGTACATCAGCCTGACCTCCAGAATAACCGCTCTTATGTTGATTTTGGTCAAAAAAGCGGGTCTAGCAGAATCGCCATCCTGCGCTTCATTGCCATAATTTTTGGGGGCTGCTCCAAATCAATCCTGAGAGCCTCCATATTTGGAGGTTTGCGCGTGGTGATATAGCGCTCAGAATCGCCATGGACATTTCAGGATACATGCCCCCTTCCGCCGCTGTCGTTTGGTGCCGCTTCTGCCCCCCTTGCCGCCGCAATTTGGCCCTGCTCACTTCCGGTGAGCCTTTCCCCGACCTCCCATGCTTCGCAGTAGCCCCGCGCCTGCTTCCCGCCGTCCGGCTACGCCTGTGACCTCAAGTTGTTCGATGACTTTCCGGAAGGTAAATTTCCCCAAATTTGCTCAGGGTAGACTAATCTAGCACCTCATTGGTTCGTGTAGATGACAGAGGATTCACAGTTTGTGTAGATGGAACCGATGATAGAGGAGTTCTTTAATGATTCGTTGTCGTCTTCGAGCTCCGAGTCTGCGAGTGAGGTCATGAACACCGTAGGTGATGAGATTGTGTTAATGGCTGCTCAATGGACAGCGGCAATCAGAACAAAGAGAAAGTGTGCGGGGTTGCAGATGAGTCATTTGACATTTCATCCTAATAGAGTCGTCGATCATAATTTGCGCATGTCTAACTACTTTGTGCCTGGTTGTACCTATCCTGCCTACATGATCTATCGACGCTTCCACACATCGCAATGGCTATTTCGTCGAATTGCGGATGACATAGAAGCCAATGAACCGTTCTTCAAGCAACGGAGAAATACTGTGGGTCTGTTAGGTTTTTCTATTGCTAGAAGGTGACCGCGACACTCTGGATGATTGCATATGGCACTCCTGTAGATATGTCAGATGAGTATCTTGGAATGGACAAAGATACAATCATAATGTGCACAAAAGCGTTCGCTGATACCGTGGTTAGGGTTTATGGAGATCAGTATCTGCGAACACCCAACGCCAAGGACATGGTGATGCTTTTAGCGATGAATGAAGCAAGAGGCTGGCCTGGGATGCTTGGGAGTGTTGACTGTATGCATTGGAGGTGGAAGAATTGCCTGCAGCTTGGCAAGGCCAATTCACCTGGCATTGCCAATGCCATGATCCGACAGCTCTTTTGGAAGCGGTTGCCTTCGAGGATTTATGGATTTGGCATTGCTACTTTGGGTTGCCTGGATCTCACAATGACATGAATGCCTTGCAAATATCTCATTTGTTGCCGAGAAAGCCTTTCGCCCCGCTTTATATATAAAGCAACGATCAACCACGCATGCCACCACAACACACGCACGCACCCAAGGCAGGATACATAGCGCTAGGATACATAGGCGCTGAGCGCATCAATACCACCCCTAGCACTACAAGAGCAACCGGGGTCCTCAACCGTGAACATGCCACCGTGAAGAGATGAAGCCGCATACGACGAACCGTGTGCACCAAGGCGGCGCCTTCAGGAAGATTACGACACCAGAGCGCCGCCACCGCCCAACCAAAGGATCAGAGTTTCCCCTGGAGCAACACGATGGGCAATGAGAGCCACAACGACGCCTTCAGGAACGAGCTTCGCTACCGCCAGTCCGTCCAAACATAGATCAGGTTTTCACCTGGCCAACACTCACCACCACCGAAAGCCACACCCTAGCGACCATGCCGCCCACACGGCCATGGCCACCGGGCAGCACCGAGCCACGGGCTGCCCAGGAGCACCGCGGAACCACCACCAGGGCAGCCGCCCCGGCATCCAAAACCTTGACACCACCTCACTCGAGACCCACCGCTACCCAACCAAAGATACGAGCGGAAAGGACTCGCCTTTCGCACCCCTTGCCGGCCCCAGCGATGAAACCCAATAGGCCGGCCAAAACTGGTCTCCATCGACCCATCCTGCGGCACCGGGCACGAGACGAGCTTGGTCCTGCTGCCGGGCGCGAGACTCGGTCTTGCTGCCGAGTGTGAGGCGGGCGATGGACCACAGCCGGGGGAGGGCCAACCCTTCGATGAAGGTAGCGACCAGACAAGGAGGAGGGGGAGGGAGCGATGGTTGAACGGACCGCCTACAAACGAGCTGACGCCGAAAAACAGCAGCCGCCGCAGCCGGCCCGCCTAGCTGCTGTGATGCCGGCACGGCGAATGGAAGCCTCCACACCGAGAGAGCCAAGCCACCTTGCCGCCACCGCCTTCGATCGGAGCAGCAGCCACGCCGAGATGCCGCCCCAACCCGCGCCGCCCGCCGGAAAAACTGTGCCAGATTCGGTCGGCACGCTTTGCCACCACCGCCACCTCCATCGCTGCCGCGGGGCAGAGATCCGGAGCTGCCGATGACCACCACCCAGCAGAGGACCAGCCAGGTCTCCACCCAACCTCCGGGCCAGAGGCCGACCCCCAGGCCGCAGATCGGGCCATAGGCCGACCCACGCGCCGCCTCCAGAGGAAATGGCCCCCGCAGCCGCGGCACTTCGCCGGAGCTTCACCGCGCCGCCGCACAGCGGCTCGCCGCCACCTGAAGAGCCGCCGCCATACCGCCCGGCCCCAAGGCAGCCAAGTCCCGCGCCCGCCCCAAGCCCGCGCCAGAGGGAGCAGGACCCCGCCGCCACCCACGCCGTCCGGGCTTTGCTCGGCGGCGCCTGGGGGCGGCAGCAGGGGAGGGGGGCCGGAAGGAGGAGTG